ACATGATCAAGTGTCTCACGGCAGTTTTAGGCCATTTAGTGGCACAGTTGACATATTATGTGACCATCTTCAGATGCTAGAAGAACTGTCAGGGGGAGAGGGGTTTCCCATGTTACGCCCACATCCGGAGGAAGAGCAGGAACCAATAAATGAATGCTGTAGGGGTGCAGGTTCCCACTGGGGCCCTATAGAAACTTCTGGGCAGGGCCTCACAATTACGTTCATGGGCAGAGGAAAGGTTTCCCTGTCTCGTGATCTTGGTTTGACAGATGCTGGCGATGTCATCCCTGGTTTTAGTGGTGATAAGTTAGGTTAGGTTAACTTAATTCCACAGTGAGGCCATTCAAAACTGTGTGTCAGAAGCACACAGCAATTCAAACAGGTGGGCTGCCTCAAATCCATCATCACTAGAGAAAACAGCCCAGGGGTGGGTCAGAGACCTCATCTGTATCTGACTGTAACAGCACATGCACACTGCACATGTGATCTGGATTGGCAAGAATGCCAAGGACCGACAGCAGAATGGTCTCAAGTGATGAGCTCACCAGGGTGGGTGTGACAAACAGGAGAGGACAAGCGTGGTCTTATTCTAAGATGGAATTCATACTTAACATTGACTCATTCTTATTGTATCTAAACTTAAGTTGACAATCTAGAAATAGATGTGTACGTGTTGTTAAAAACTTTAAATGCCTTGTAAGTTTCATACAATGTCAAGTAGTCAGCGGTCTACAAAGCTGTGGAAGAGGAAAACCTCAGTGATGTAAAGAATATAAAGTGATTTTAAAATCAGCATGTAAGCCAGAATCACCTCCAATATTATCAAATATTTTTACACATTTGCTGAGTCATAAATGGCAATGAGCCCTGACACAGCAAAAGGCGTGGCTTGGTCATACTTCAGATGACCACCCAGTGACAGGCTGCCTCCCACTTTAAATATCCAGAAGCCTGGATACCACTTATCTCCATCTTTCCCACTTTGCATGTACCGAAGCTAAGGCTGAAAAGATGATTTTCCAAGCCCACATATAGGTAGGTAAGCCAGAACCAAGGTGCCCTGACCCTCAGCTCAGTGACTCAAAGACTGTACCACTTTGCTTCTCAGAGATTATCTGTTAGCTGAACAGAGATTGAGCCCATTCAACAGGAGTGCACCCCCCAACCCTGCCACCATGCCCACTGCTCATGACATTAATAATCAGAAGCCACATGCTGTTTCATGTCCATAGGAAAAGCAACAGAAGTGGGTTAATTTCACTGCTGTATAATATTTCTTTGTGTGGATACATCATATTTCACTGACCCATTTTCCTCCTGGTAGACCACTGGATGTGTCCAATTTGTGCTATTATCAAAAATGTTGTTATGGACATTCTTGAACACGTCTGGCTTACATGTTTAAGAGTTCATCTGGAGTAGATGCCTATATAGGATATAACGTCTACATTATAGAGTGTGTGCATCTTCCATTTAGAATGCTTTGGGCGGCAAAACTATGTAATTCTAATGTAAAATGGCTTAAACCACAACAAAATTTACTACCTCCCATAATACGAGTCTAGACACAAGGAAAACCCAGTGTCGTCTCAGCAGCTCGAAAACGTCGTCAGCAATTTCGAAGTTCTCCCTCTGCCCTGTCTTCTTCAGCACCTTCCTCACTTCGTTCTGCCTGGTCCCCTCAGAGTCACCAGATGGCTGTTACAGCTCCAGAGACACCTGATCATGACCACTCCCAGAGGAAGAAGGGGCTGTCTTCTCCAGTGTGTCTCTCTTGGGTATAGAAAAAAAAAAAAAACACCTTTCACAGGGGGCAGGTGTTTGGCACAGTGGTTACGACTGCTTGGGACACTCACATCCATACAGCAGTGCCTGGGTCTAAGGCCCAGCCCCCCTCTGATGACTGCGACACTCACATCCCGTACTGGAGCATCTGGGTCCAAGGCCCAGTCCCTCCTCTGATTCCAGCTTCCTGCTAACATGAACCTGGGAGGCAGCAGTGATGACTCAGCTGGTCGGTTCCTTGCCACTCACATAAGAGGCCCAGAGTGAGTCCCTGGCTCTTGGCTTTGGTCTGGCAAAGCCCTGGCTGATGCAGGCAGGGAATGAGCCAGCAGATGAGAGATGTGTGTGTGTGTGTGTGTGTGGCAGACAGACATACAAAGAGTCTCTCCTCCTCTCTCTGTCTCTACCTGTTCTCTGCTTTTCAAATAAATTAAATAAGATTTTTAAGAAACCCTTTCTCTAAAGCCCCCAGCCAGCTTTATCTCATCTCATAGGCAAGAACTCTATCATATGCTCTGTGTAAATCAATCACTGCAAAAGTGAATAAAATTCATCCATGCCAAGGAAAATATTCAATACATACCCTCAGGGGCTGCACAAAGGCCCCTTCCCTGAGCCCCTAAACATCAGCTGGAGGGTGCAGCCTTTACCTTTTCCCATTAACTCTTGTTTTCACTAAATATGATTATGTATGCCACCTTATTATGGAAAATGGAACATCTGACATGCATGAATGGGAGGTGGAGGGCAAGCTTAATGAACAGAATAACAGCCCTACGAACCCACCTCCCAGCTCGGAGTCAAATCATGCCCATCTCTTCTCATCGCTGAGCCACCTACCTCCCCATCCCCTTCCCAGATTATTTTTAAACAAATCCAGCTGTCATATCATGTTAACTGGAAATATGTAAGTGAGGACTCTTTAAAAAACAAAGCCACAATACAATGACCACGTCTTCAATGAATACCAGTGCCCTAACATCAGTAAGTAGTCTATCAGTGCCCAAATTTCTCCAATATCTCCTATGGGTCTCTGTGTGTGTTTACAGTGTAATCCAAGAAGGCCCAGACACGACGGGTATCCGATTTCTCTCCCAAGTTGGACCAGTGAATCTGAACAAGAGTCATGGCCGAGTAAAGGATGGGCACCTGGGGCACCAGAGGTAAACAGAGCAGTTTGGAGCCCCCAGGCTGACAAATCCAACCACGCTGTGCGTGGGCTTCCTGAATGACCCATTCACCACAGACACTCACACTGGGGAACGCTGTCTCAGGACCAGCTACCCACCCCCAGCAGAACTGCACCCCTGAAAGGGCCAGCCGTAGGGTGGGCTCAGGGCTTTCAGGATAAGCAAACCCCAGAGCAAAGAACACTGAAAACTGAGCAGGGAAGAGCCTGGGATTGATACCACTTGCACCTCAGTAGGAATCTGTCTCTAAGAAATCAGCCATTAGCAAACGATTAATAAGGATGGTGAAAGAGCAAAAAGTTACAGTTCCCTGGAGAGCTATATCTACTGATGAAAATAAAATTAAAAAGGGTAAAGGATAACAGCTCCAACTCACCACTTCTTAATAATCAATTTGCTGTTGTTCTATGCTCAGTTTTTAGAATTAGGCTATAAATACTTCAAAAAGTGTTGGTATTGTAAGCCAATAAACTACTGACAGAAGGAGAAGTGCTAAGTGCTAACAAGTTTTTTTTATTGTTGTTTATTAATATCTCTCCTGTTTCTAAAAATGGTTTGCAGCAACACAGTGAAATATATAGATTTGATAAGACCAGAAAAATATTAAAGCAGAATAAAAAAGCAAAGTTCAAGAGAGGAGGAGGATAGGAGGAAGATGATTATAGCAGAAAGCCTGGGCTAACTGAAGGAATTAATCAAACAGAAATGAAGGCAACAAACTCTTACCCTTATCTAAATCATGTATTATTTTTTTAAATAGTGAAACTTCCAAAGGTTCACTATCTTCTTTCTCCATTTTGCCACTCTTCTTTTTCATTTGTTTGTCCATGTGTTCAGAACCAAGGTCACGAGTCATGAATGTTCAAGAGTTCCAGAATGTTCCTGCATGTTCCAACACACGCTCTGCAGTGCTGGGCATGGAAGGATGGCTGTGCCAAGGGTCTAGACAGGGGGTTCTTGCCAGAGGGCAGCTTTGCCCCAGGAGACAGAACCTGTTATCACACAGCAGGGTGGGTGTCACTGTCGTCTACTAAGAAACCAAGGCTGCCGCTCCCCACCCTACAGTGCACAGCACAGCCCCACAACAAAGACTAATCCAGCCCCAACGGCCCAGGCGCTAGGCTGAGAAACCCTGGTGGAGTGGGCAGAGATGTACTGGCCCATCACACACCACTAATAACACGTGTTCAAAGCTCTCTCCTTCACCCAGCAAATTCTCTTTACACTTTTCTTTCAGTAGCATAACCTTTGCCACAATCAAAACACATGGCCTCACGTCTCACTCTAGTTTACTGCAAACTCCCCACAGACGTCCCGGTCACTGAGCTCACAGGGCACACAGCGACATGAGCAGCTTTTCTCTGACAAGCACGTCCTTCCCTGCTCAGGAACCGCAGCAGCTTCTGCTTTGACGACCACGTCAAGGCTGACGCTCCCATCCTGACCCCAAGCTGATCCACGGAAGGCTGATGCTTTCCTTCTGTAATCTCACCTTCGACAGCCGCAGCTGCTTTGCTCCAGCCAAGACATCACAGGATCTCTCTGCATCTCTCTCCCTTCACCTGATCCAACCTGCCTCCTTGTGTCCCTTGCTGCTTTGGTGGAGAGTCCTTCACGAGGAGCCAGCACTGTGGTGTAGAAGGCTAAGCCTCCACCTGCAACACCGGCACCCCATATGGGCGCCAGTTCTAGTCCCAGCTGCTCCTCTTCCAATCCAGCTCTCTACTTGTGGGCTGGGAAAGCAGTGGAGGATGGCCCAAGTGCTTGGGCCCCTGCACCCCTGTGGGGGACCTGGGAGAAAGTCCTGGCTCCTGGCTTCTCCAGCTGCTGTGGTCATGTGGGAAGTGAACCAGCTGATGGAAGACCTCTATCTCTCTCTCTCTCTATATATATATATATATACAGAGAGAGCATATATATATATATATATATATATGCTTCTCAAATAAATAGAATCTTTTTAAAAAAGAATAATTCATGAAAAATCAGATTTTTTAAAGATTTTGTTTATTTATTTGAGAGGTAGAGTTACAGACAGTGAGAGGGAGAAACAGAGAGAAAGGTCTTCTGTCCGTTGGTTCACTTCCCAATAGCTGCAATGGTCAGAGCTGCACTGATCCGAAGCCAGGAGCCAGGTGCTTCTTCCCAGTCTCCCAAGCAGGTGCAGGGGCCCAAGGACTTGGGTCATCTTCTACTGCTTTCCCAGGCTATAGCAGAGAGCTGGGTTGGAAGAGGAGCAGCCGGGACTAGAACCAGCTCCCATATGGGATGCCAGTGCTGCAGGCAGAGGATTATCCTACTGTGCCACAGTGCCGGCCCCTCATATTGTTTTTTAATTGCTTCCATTATGGGTAAGTGGAATGATAACAGAATCTAAAATAAAAATTAATGAATTCAAAATAATTCAATGAGGGTTCTCCTAATGCTACATCAGAAAATTGTTTTCAGCATTAAAGACTGAAACAAAATGCATTTTCAGATCAAAAAAAATTTAATTAATCACAATTTTCCATTTTCTAAAAGGTCTAATTAGTGCTTTTTTAAATGCAAATCTTGATTTAGAAGCAGGGTAAATTAGGGAGTTATCACTCACATCTTTTTTTAATCTGGGATTTTTAAATTTTAGATACTTCAGGTTATAACTTTTTTAACATTTTGAACCCTACTTGTACAAAAATCAAGATTAAGATAAATGATAAAACTGGGATTTGCATTTTTCCAGTGAAATTACTGCATAAGGAAACAATCCCTCATTCAGGTAAGTCAGTCAGAATTCCACTACCTTCGGAAATGTTTGGTTGAATAAAAGAAAAATGAGACCCTTTAAGAATCCTTGAGGGCCGGCGCCGCGGCTCACTAGGCTAATCCTCTGCCTTGCGGCGCCGGCACACCGGGTTCTAGTCCCGGTTGGGGCGCCGGATTCTGTCCCGGTTGCCCCTCTTCCAGGCCAGCCCTCTGCTGTGGCCAGGGAGTGCAGTGGAGGATGGCCCAGGTGCTTGGGCCCTGCACCCCATGGGAGACCAGGAAAAGCACCTGGCTCCTGGCTCCTGCCATCGGATCAGCTCGGTGCGCCGGCCGCAGCGCGCCAGCCGCGGTGGCCATTGGAGGGTGAACCAACGGCAAAGGAAGACCTTTCTCTCTGTCTCTCTCTCTCTCTCACTGTCCACTCTGCCTGTCAAAATAAATAAATAAATAAATAAATAAATAAATAAATAAATAAATAAAAAAGAATCCTTGAGGAACTGCTATGCAGACAGAGGAAGGGATGAATCTCTGGCAAAGGGGCCCAGGCGAGCTGGAGCTGGCTGCGGGAGTGAGGCCTGGCTCTGCAGGAGGGCAAAGTCCTGCAGCCCGGACCCTGAAGGAGCTCTGCCTCGCTCAGCCCCATCACGCACTCTGGCCCAAGCCCACAGGCCTGCCCTCCTCCTCCAGGCATCCCACGCCACGCACGCCGGAGCCTCCCTGCTTCTCCCCCGGGTTCTCAGAACCTCTGGGTCCCAGCTGCTGCAGCACGCGGGCAGCCAGCAGCCCTGCATACCCCGCTTACAAGCAACTGTGCTGTGTCTTTGCTCTACTGCAGGAGGCCCCCTGTTGCCTACAAAACAAAGTCCTGACTCCCCAGCAAGGTTTCCAAGCACTCATCACCACTCACTCCCAGCCCCACATCAGAGGACTCAGCACTACGGTTTGGGTGGTGGTTGGGGGCTGGGGGTCTCTCCCACGCTGGAGGCTTTGTCTCACAGCAGTGGAACCTTGAAGAGGTAGGATCTTGTGAGGCAACCAGGTCTCAAGGGGCACTGCCCCCGAGGCTGCTCCACATGGCCTTTCTGCACGTGGCTGTCTCCCCTTTCGCTTGTCCACCAACTCGTAACACAGCCACAGAGGCCCAGGCTTGAACTTCAAGCCTCCATAATTGTGAGCTACATAAGCCATTTTCTTTGAGTGCCCAACTTCAGGCATTTTGTTACAGCAAGAGAAAACAAGCTAACACAATAAATAAAGATTTTCATGTAAAATGGGCCAAAATTCTTTTTTTAGATAGCTACATGACTTAAGGAAATGTTCTAGACACAAGGCATCAGACAGTGTAAGGGATTTGATAAAATCACCCATAAAGTCCTTGTGGTCAAAATTTAGAGAAAAGTGAGACAGATTCCAGGACACTGAGGAGGACGTGTAACTAGAAAATGGCCGTTAATTACTGACTAACGAAAGAGTTCCAGAAATGATGCTGACGGCGGAGCACAGAGAGCTGCCTGCCCAGAGGCAGGGTGACATCTGGATCTCACGGTTACCACCTTTGCAGATCCCACGGTGCAGAGAGGAAGGCAACTGTACTGAATGGCAGAGACAGGAAATACAAACCATGATGGCAGAGCACCGTACAGAACAAAGGCAGACAAATTCAACCAACGCAACAACCAGGCCCCCAAAGCACAGAGTCAGGCAGGCAGTGACATCGCAGAACCATCTGTGGGAAAGGCATTCGGATTTTATTCAACTGCAAGCTTAATAAAAGCCAACATGTGACTCTCACCAAAAAAGAAGCTAATGTGATCCTGGTTGTATTAATAGACCGATAGAGGCCATAATAATGAAGATTAATGTTCCTCTGTTCTCCACAACCTAAATGGCAAAAGAACTGGCGGTGTTTAGTCTGAAGGAAGGAGGCAGATGGATTGTTCCTTTTAAATATTTGAAAAGGTGTCACGCAGAAGCATCCCTCGGAAGTCCAGTGTACAATGGTAAGACTCACGGGCAGATAAATCCGGATTTCCTTCCTGACAATGAGGACTGTCATGGGAGAGTATAACATCTCCATCTGCAGGCTGCAGCAGCCTTACATATGCTCTGGAGTGGATTTAAGTCCTGGAGAAATAATCAAAATGAGCAGAGTAACCCCAGAAAGCTGAGGGTCACAGGGTCAAATGGTGGTCTCAGTGGATGGAGCAGGGCAGGGATGAGTGAAGAAAATTTGCTCCAGCATCAAGAACTGTGAAGGAGAACTCTTGTTGTCTCTGAACAAAGTTTTATGAGAGTTGACATACTTCCACATTCATTTGGTACAAAATCCAATAATAGAATTACAGAGAAAATTCTCATACCATTTAATGCTTTATAAAAACATAAAAGCCTAACAATAAACTATACAACAAATCTGGGCCTGAGAACTAAAATTTGTGGTTCTAAATTTATTTCTTCATTTGAATTTATCTTACGTTTCCAAGACAACAAGTAAAATAACCCTATATACCCACACATGGGTCTCCTCTTTCTACATCAACATCAAAATGCTGGCTTTGTTCTGACTGGTTCTGCTTTCAACGTTACTGACAGGCATCTGATCCACATTCCTTCACTGCTGCCTTTGTATCAATGACCCATGGACACATTCATCCTCTCAGGCTCCTAGGGCCTCGCAGGTCTCCAGTCTGAATTTATTTTCTACTCCTCACCATCTCATCATGCATTTTCTTGGGGAAGTAAACATGTCAAGAATTCTTGCTGGCCAGATCCCTCATAGATCCACGTTTTTGCTCCCAAGTCAGTGTGCACTAGAATTGCCTGGCAAGCCTGTGGAAAACATGGACTCCCAAAACACCATCCTTAGGTAGTGACCGGATGGCCTCCTGGAGAGGTGGAAACCATCTCCTGCTCACCAGGGTACTTCAAAAACTCCATGGAAAAGTAGAAATAAGAAGTAAGAGATAAGCTTATTTTGGCACGATAATTTTTTGAAATTCATACATAATATTTGCATAATACACATTTTCTATTAAATTTTTGAAGATTCCATGAACTTCCTGAAATACTCCAATAAGCTATAATTAGACCTGTTAGGACTGTTTGAAAGACTATGTTAATGCTGGGGTAAGTTTCTCGTATTTTTTTTAAGATTTATTTATTTATTTGAAAGAGTTACACAGAAAGAGGAGAGGCAGAGAGAGAAAAAGAGAGAGAGAGAGAGAGGTCTTCCATCCAATGCTTCACTCCCTAATTGGCCACAATAGCTGGAGCTACGTCAATCCAAAGCCAGGAGCCAGGAGCTTCTTCCAGGTCTCCCACACGGTGCAGGGGCCCAAGGACTTGGGCCATCTTCTACTGCTTTCCCAGGCCACAGCAGAGAGCTGGATCAGAAGGAGAGCAGCCAGGACTCGAACTGACACCCATATGGGATGCCGACGCTTCAGGCTAGGGTGTTAACCCGCTGGGCCACAGTGCCAGCCCCAAGTTTCTCATATTTAATTTACGAGTACGAATTTAAGTACATCCACTGGTTCTTGCAGAAAATTTTTCTAAAACGATATAATTCCTCATACAAACTAGTTTCATATTAAGGTCTGAATTTGATTTTACATGGAAATGAGTGCTCTCATATTTTATATTTCCACTAATATTTCCTGAAATGGGGTTACACAGAAATCAAAAGTAGAATCATGAATTTATAATTATTCAGAAGACATCGTGTATGTTTTATCATTATATTTTCAATTTTCAGGAAAATTAACTTTAGAATTATCTTCATGATTAATAATTGGTGCATCTGAAATTTCACCTGTTCTTTCTCATCCAGTGTGATAATCTTTAAATTTTATTTCTAAATCTAAATATTTGCTTTTCAGCACTGCAGTCACTTCCAGCCCAGAAGTTCTAAGCTATTTGGAGAATTACAAAAATGCTCCTCGTCCTGTAGGCTCCACTAGGAACTGTAGCTCCAAGACAGTCATGAGGGTTCCCGCAGAGCAGCAGCCCCTTGTGAGACACAGCGGTGTGTGGCGGCCGGGTGGCCCAGGCATGCCGCTGCCCCACCGGGGAGAAAACCGCCAGGGACCAGGAACGGGTGGGATGTGGCAGTGCTACGCTGTCATCTCAAAGGCAGACAGCAAGAGAGACTTCTTTGCTCTGCATTTTACTTTACTTGGGCAAATTTGCTACCTTCTTTATTTTTTCCCCTTTAGTTAACAGATGGAACTTCCTTTCTTACTAGGATGAAACTCAACAGACCTGTGATGTCGTGGTATTTGTTATCCACAAGAAATGCTTGTGGGGCCGGTGCTGTGCCTTGGCGGGTAAAGCCGCTGCCTGCAGCACCAGCATTCCATACGGGCACTGGTTCAAGTCCCGGCTGCTCCACTTCCTGTCCAGCTCTCTGCTATGGCCTGGGAAAGCAGTAGAAGATGGCCAAGTGCTTGGGTCCCTGCACCCACATGGGAGATCTGGAAGAAGCTCCTGGCTCCGGGCTTCGGATGGGTGCACCTCCGGCCGTTGTGGCCAACTGGGAAGTGAACCAGAGGATGGAAGATCTCTCTCTGTGCCTCTTCTCTCTCTGTGTAACTCTGACTTTCAAGTAAAATCAATGAATCTTTCAAAAAAAATGCTTGTAGCCATTGGCTTTATTATTAATTGAGCCTTCCAAACGTAAATAATAATACCGACACGAGAGTCACTTGAGCAGGCTGGGGTGTCCGCGTTCCCACTGGAGCACAGTCCTCCCCCTCAGCCTTGCACCCCGAGAAAGCAACTCCAGCCACTCACCAGGCTGCTAAGCTCTGCGACCCCAACTTTCCTGACACCTCTGTGTCCCCCAGGCTGCTGAGCACGGGCTCTCTCCACTGCTGTCTCCACTCCCCGCTCAGGCGTCTGCCCGCAGCACTGGGACCTACTCTTCTGCAAGGGCACACTCTGGTTTTCACCTCTCGTTTCATTTCGCAAACCTAAATCCAAGCTCTGCATTCAGAGTCGTTCCTTTGTCTTCAGCATCGAATATCTATCTACATTTCTCTTTCTCTTTTTTTTTCTGTTTGGGGCACCAAGTTTAATGCTGTCTTACCCACTCCTAATTTGTAAATAAGTATGTTGCTTCTGAGATATTTCATACCCGCATCTCAGTGTGTGAACGTGGGAACACACTCTCTCTGAGCTCTGAACCCAACCTCTCCCCGCACTGGGGCGCAGCACAGGCCCTGGGCATGGCAGATTCCCGCTGCATGTGGCGCTTTGCTCTCTGACAGCAAGGGCGTACTGCATGGGGTCTACGCTCCTCCATCTTTATTTCCAGCCATCTTGGGTCTGGTCAAGGGCTTTCACTGGTAACAGCCAACACAATGTTTGACGGAGATAGAGTCAGGCTTGCCTCCAAGAAAACAAAGACAAAGCCAGGCTGGGTCCTGCACTTTGACCAGGCATAAGGCAGCTGGTGTTGCCCTCCAAGAAACACAGGTGCCAACCAAGGGTGTAGCCCAACAGATAATCTGGGGACTGCCTGAAACACAGGGACATTAGAATGGCATCAAGAACAACTCTGTGGCCTGGACTCTTGGCCAGCTATGGTTTCAGAAAACACCTAGGAGAGAAGTGAGATGGCAGCAGGACAAGCTTTGCAGTCACTTGAGGAAAAGGGAGGAGGCGCTGTCCATGTACAAGGTCAGAGACGCTTGTCCGGCCAGCCTGATGGAGATTCCACTATAGCAGTGCTGCTTCCTGGACAAGCAGAGCACACCGACAGGACACAGGAGTGTCCCCGCTAGAACTCATCGCCGTGAGCGCTGCTGCCATGCATCTTTAGCTAATTCAACTTACCCCACAACGTTACTCACGTTACTCAGCTGCAATGAGTCCTTACGTGCAAGCACATTTCCGTGGATTTTTAAGATTATTGTACATCCATCGAACAACAGTTGGCAACATCATCTTTATCAAAACTGAGTACATCCAAAGTGTACAGCTGCGGAGAGAAAGAGGTGGACTGTGTTTCCGCAGACCTGGTGGAGCACACACTGAGAGGAGAGGCGACCTGAAGGGCTCAGGTGGCTGGGGAAAGGTGTGCCACGGAAGTGGTGTGCCATGGGAGTGGTGTGCCACGGAAGCGGGACTTGGGCAGGAGGCTGGCACAGGTGGGCTTCCCGAGGGGCAGAGACTGACACAGTCTCAGGGCAGAGATGGGGAAAGGAGTGCAAAGGGGAGGGGTCCCTAAGGGGAGTGAGCAAAACTCTGACACGGATCCTGAGAGCTAGGGGGAGCAGGACTGGGCCCCTGCTCCCTCCTCCATCTGCAGACCAAGTGCCCTGCTGGGAAACACTGCAGACAGGACAGCGTGGACTCCCCTTCCATTCCTCACACCCTGAGGAGGACCCTGACTGGCCACTATGGGTTCAGTGGATTAGCCAGAGGACTCAGGAAGCTAGGAGTTAACTCCTGGGGATGCAGGGGACTCTAGGAAGGGCTATGGTTTAAAGAAAGGGAAACGGTTTACACTAAAACTGTACACAGGTCACACCGAGAGCAGTACCCACGAGCAGAGATATCCACAGTGATAATTTAAAACATCACATTTACTTTTTTAAAAAAGAAGATTTATTTTTATTTGAGAGGCAGAGTTACAGACAGAGGGAAAGAGACAGAGAGGGAGGTCTTCCATTCACTGGTTCACTCCCCAAGTGGCCACAAATGCCAGAGCTGGGCTGATCCGAAGCCAGGAGCCAGGAGCTTCTTCTGGGCTCCCACATAGGGGCAGGGGTCCAAGCACTTGGGCCATCTTCTACTGCTTTCCCAGGAACATTAGCAGAGAGCTGGATCTGAAGTGGAACAGCCAGGACTCAAATTGGCACCCCTACAGGATGCTGGCGCGATAGATGGAGGCTTAACCTTCTATGCCAAAGCACCAGCCTTCATTTTAACCTACTCAACTTGGAGTTACAAATGTTTAAAATCTCACATCAGAGGCCAGCCCTGTAGTGTAGCAGGTAAAGCTGCAGTCTGCAGTGCAGGCATCCTATATGGGCACTGGTTCAAGTCCTGGCTGCTCCACTTCTGATCTAGCTCTCTGCTAAGGCCTGGGAAAGCAGAAGAAGATGGCCCAAGTCCTTGGGCCTTTGCACCTGCGTGGGACACCTGGAAGAAGCTCCTGGCTCCTGGCTTCAGATTGGTGCAGCTCCAGCCATTGCAGCCAATTGGGGAGTTAACCAGTGAATGGAAGACCTCTCTCTCTCTCTGCCTCTGTTCTCTCTGTATAACTCTGATTTTCAGATAAATAAATAAATCTTAAAATAAATAAGCAAAACCAATTAGCCTTTACACTTAAAAAAAAAATCTCACGTCAACATGCTAACCTGGAATAGAGCTGATTCATCCCTGTTTTTCTTCCCTCAAAGTCATCTCCTGAGATTTCAAGAACGGAACATGTTCATCCTCCCCACTCACTGTCGCCCTGTCCTTCCCCAGGGTCTCACTGACCCTGCTGTCCCCTCCTCCTGCCTGTCTTTAACTAAAGCCAGCGCGTACAATGCTTGACAAACTAAGCTGCTCCTCTGCTAGTTAGAGAGAGAGCTTTTTATGGTGTTAATTGAAGGGAACCGAGCTAAACCCACAAGTACAAATTGATGATGTTATATCAGGATTTTATTGTGCATACTATGTCTTGAAGCCAACTCCATATAACAAATCATAGTAAAATCCAGGAAAGATCATGTAACACATTTCAATAGAAGCCCCTCATATTTCAGTGTTACGGTTAGAACCGTACAGAAGAAATGATACTTCAAGAAACAGAGGGGTCAACAGCCAGTGCTCCCTTTGCAACAACTTTGCTGCAACAATGTTTCTGGAACATTCCTGGACACCATATCAAATGCCTTCCACCCAGGCATGTCATACTGTGTGCCCAAAGGCCAGGACTCAGCCTCCATGGGGCAGGGGCCACCTCAACCGACCTATCTGGCCTCCTCCTTCCTGTGACAGTGCTGAGGCCACAGCAGGCAATCAGCAAATCCTGAGATGAGTGAGTCACAGAGGAGGCTTGCATCCATGAACATGAAGCCAATCAGCCTCCAAGCAGAGAAAGGTTAAGATGGAGAGGCCAGTGAGGCAGAGACGACGCATCCTATAGTCGCTCCCTGCGTTTAAACCTGTCCCTTCCTGTGCGTACACAGGAGGTTATTGTTCACAGGCCAAAGCGGAATGGATCCAGGTCCCTTCATTCCAATCTGTTAGTGCTTAGAGACGAAGCTCGGTCTCAAAAGGACAAAGAACTTTCTTGCTAAAGGCCCAGCCAGATGGCTCAGGACACAGCTCTCAAATCCATCTGACTGTCCAGTGTTTGTTTTGATAAATAGCATGATTGCATTGCCTGGAGAAGTAATTTCTTCTATCAGAAGATGCTGGCGACAGAGTCAATCTGGACCCTAAAAAATGTAGAAGTAAATGATGAGTGTCAGCAAATTAAATCAGCAAGATGAGATCAGCTTTTCTTGGGTTCCTTGGATACCCAACAGCACACAGCATCCTTGAGAACCGAATCTGTCAAAGTCCAAGCATGCAGCTTCCTAAGGCACACCACATGGCTTTGAATGCCGCCCAAGACAGTCTCCTAGCTCGAAGAAATGAAGCACATATGGTGGAGGACAGACTCCAGGACCCCAAGGTGCCTGTGGGGCCATGCAGGCGGGGGAGGGGGGATGCAGAGGACACAGATCACGGCCTACATCACAGCCAGAACATTCTAAACACTTTCTAGGCACTGGGACCTCACCGGACCCTGGCAGAAATCCTCCAATGTGGCCTACTTTAATCATTGCACAGATAAGGAAAAAGAGGCTTAGAGAGATTTGAGAGCTTGTTCATAACTAACAAATGACAGAATTATGACCTGAGCCAATTCCTTCCTGAAGCCCATATGCACCCTTGATTCCCACGTACCCTGTCTCACACATGAGAGTCCTAAGCTCCCCTCACAGCCTGCCTACTCAAGGCCATGCTTCCCCTTTCAAATTCAGTTTAATCCAACAACAGCCGCCACTGCCCATCCCACCACTTCATGCACCTGCTCTAACTGAGTGCACAGGTGAGGGTGTTTAGGGCTGCAGCTGGCAGAGGGGGGCCCAGTGCAGAAGCATTGTTTTGTTGTTTCTCTCACACAATGGGACCGCTCTAAGCTGAGTAGCCCCAGGACCTGTTCAACCGTTCAGCCATGTTTTCAGGGACCCATGCTCTGCCCTCCCGTGCCCCGCTCTTGAGCGCATTGGCTTTTATTCTCCAGCCTGTGCCCCAGGAGTGCCAGACAGCTGAGCCCCCCAAACAGTACCCAAAGCTAGGAGGGAAGGGACAGGAGAATGTCACGTCATCCTCTGACAAGAGCTCGGTCCTGTTTCCCCTGTCTCATTGGAAGTGTGTTTAAGCCACCCCTGGTGTCAAGGGATGCAAGAAGGCAAGGGTCTAGCGTTTTCTCAGTCTCAGTCGCAGGAGTCAGGGTCTGGGACCAGCAGCATCACAGAAGGCGGAGGCTGTGGTGCAGACGGCAGTCTCGGCTCCTCCCCGCTGAGGCAGAGGCCCCTTCAGCCCTGATACACTGGTCTCCTGTGCGACACTGTGGCTTCCTGCTCCCTCTAACTGCTGCCTGTTTGTCTCCCATGTTTCAGCGGATCCTCGTCAGTCTCCTTCCCCACTCGTCTTCAGCACCAGTGAAATGAGAGCACTGGACTCTCAGGGATCACAATATCAACTGCATCCAAGGGACAGGCCAAAGGCATAAACGCGTGGAAGTGACCAGCGATGACAAGGGCGCCGAGCGCCTGTTTAAAAACGTGCACGTTCACAGCCCAGGACGTTGAGCTAGGGCAGTCTCATCCACAGACCGGGCAGGTCTTCCACTCCGCAACGCGCCCAGTCTTCCCCTCCAGCGCCTCTGCATTAATTCCAAGCTCACTGCTCACGGACTCGGCCTGGCCCTCCAAGGCCACAGGGGCTGTGAGTCCAGCATCACATCAGTGAGGCACTGAGCCACGGAGAGCGGCAGGGACACTGACAGGGTCAGGCTGGCCATGGGAAAATGCTGAGTGGCATCTCAGGCCTGCAGAACTAACAGCTTTCTTGCTCCAGCACAGCTCTGTCAGCAAGGAAAACCGATGCCTTCCTCAAGACGGACTGCAAGGGTCACAGGGCAACCTCCCCACCAAAAACGCCCTCGACAAATTTTGTACTTAAAAATGCATTCCTTTAGAGTGCTTCGATTTTCTGTTTTCGAGAGACATCTGTTGCAGTGGGAATTCAAGAGTCAACCTGTTACAGGGAGACTCTAACATATTTCTATGCCCTTAACACTTCCAAGCGTAATTAGGTGGGGAGAAGAGGGAGGAAAAAAGGGAGGAAGAGATAGAAAGTAAACAAACCTGCAGTGCAGTAGGCTCAAATCAACCTTTCTCTCTCAAACACACACACGTGCACCATCTCTCTCACATATACAATCTCTCACACACAAAATCTCTAAAACACTCATACACACTTACACAGCTCATACAATTTCATACATACTTAGTCTCACTCATACACACATACACAGCTCATACAGTTTCATACATACTTAGTCTCACACACAATCCCACCCACATATACATACATAATCTTTCTCACATATAATCTCTCCCACACACATATCCATAAACACAATCCCTCACATACACACTCACACATACACAATGTCACATACATAATCTCTCAAACACACATATACAACTCACACACACAATGTCACACACAATCTTTCAAACACACATATATATATAACTTACACAATTCACACATATCACACACACATCATACAATCTCACAATCTCACACACAATCCCTCACATACACACATATACAAACTCATACACACACAATCTCATACACATAATCCCTCATATACTCACACACATAAACTCACACGATCTCACACATAACACACACAGT